TGTGTGTGTGTGTGTGTGTGTGTGTGTGGCCAGCTCAGCCCACCAGGGGGCGAAGATGGCTGGCATGTGGTGCTGGGGGATTGAACCGTGGTCCCTGTGCTTTGTGAAGCTTGTTCTAAATAGGTGCTTTAGGCCACTGAGCCATCTCACCAGCCCCCCCAGTTTCCTCTTGACCCTGGCCACAGTGTCTGTCATTTCTTTGGGACTTGCTTTTCCGCCCACTAATCCTCACTTCACCAGGCTCTAACCTGCTCTTTCAATTGCATATTTCTTTCTTAGATCTTTGTTGAGATTTAGTTTTCCTACAGTGAACTAATATAAAGTGTACAATTTAAAATATGTAGGCACATCCAGGTATATATGATCACATAATCATCACCAGTCAAGATACCCTCCCTCCAAAGACCTTCTCCTCCTTTATAATCCTTTCCTCCTCCTTTCTACTGCCCCACATGCCACATCCTCAGGCAATTACTGATGAGTTTTGTCACTGTTGAGTAATTGCCTTTTTTTTTTTAATATTAATAAAAATCGTGTGTGTATGTGTGTGTTTTTGGTTGTTGCTGATGTTTGTTACAGGGTCTCACTAAGAGGTCAGGCTGGCCTGCAGCTCACTGCCATCCTCCTGCCTCTCTGGCTATACCTGAGGAGCTCTGAATCACCTCCTCATTTTACAAAAGCTTTGATATTAACCTCTGTTGCCTGTAAGTCATTAAAATCTAACCTAACTGTCCTGGGGACCTGAGATGTCCTCAGGGACCAAATCATTTTTACTCCCTTCACTCCCTGGGCTCTTGAGAATTATACCTACCATCTTGAAAGTCTAGTCACATATTTGAAACATTAAAAAAAAAAATTACGGAGAAAGGAATTTTTTTTAAAAACACATGATTCATCTTATTACAGAAATAAAATTTATGTCTTCCCTCTTCTTTGAGCTTAGGAGCATCATCCAAAACCCTGGGTGTTCCTAGGGATGAGTGGTCGACAGGCCTCAGTGCCAGGCCCCTGGAGCTTACAATCAGAACCCACACCAGAACCTCCCTCTGGGCTGCAAGCCTAGGTGTCGCATGTTTCACAACACCTGGTTTATGGACTGCTGCCTTCCAGTGCTTGCCATGATGCAAGTCTTCAATAAACAGTAACATTGTCTCTGCAGCCATAAGGTTTTGTTGAAGGAAGCATTTAAGTTGCAGATCCATTACCCATGCAGTCCTGGCTGTCCCCATCTGCTGCAGCATGTGTTCCCAAGAAGCTGAGCAACCAGCGAACACCCTCATTGGCACATCCCTGTGAGCAGAACCTGGGCACCTGCTGGCCCCTCCCCAAAACCTCAGGTGTGACTTTGGCAGTGGAGCCCACGGTCCAGAAGCCTGTGGCGCTGCTCTCTGCAGGCCGCAGCTGTCCCAGTGCTGTGGCCCTCTCCATGCGGTTTTCTGCCTCATCTATCATGACAGCTCTGTGCTTGGTCGCATGGTGTATTTAGCAGCAAACCTGCCTCTGACTTGCAGTATGCACATGATACTCATCAGATGTAGGCTGTGCAGCTGTTGCCTGCTTTAAGCCTGGCTGAGTTCACCTGATGAAGAGGCCCCTATGTAGGGCATCAGATGGGTCTTTGGTGACCGCTCTAAGAAGGAACCTGCTAAACCATCTCAATGCAGGACTGGTTAGACTTTGTGGCATCTTTTTTTTTTTTTTTGTACAGAGAATTGAACTCAGGACCTTGTCCTTGCCAGGCAGGTGCTTGTGCCACTGAGCTATCTCCTCAGCCCAGGGTTTGTGTACTGTGTGGAACCCACAAGGAAATGGGGCCTGGTGGCTATTTTAATGAGGTCAGTAGCTCCTGGTCCTGCTTGTTTAAAAGTATCTATTTTGAGTTAAAGAAAGACAGTTTCTTGTACTTCCTGTCATCATAAGAACCTCTACTAGAAAGAGATTAAAGTCTTGGCATTCAGAGAGAGTTGTTGGACATTTATCCTAAACAGACTGAAGAATAATAATTCCCTTTAGTGAAGGGTTTTTGAAGATTTAGTTTTTTTTTTTTTTTTTTTTTTTTTTTTTTTTTTTTTTTTTTTTTTTTTTTTTTTTTCTTAATCTGTTTAAGACAGTCATAAGGAATACTATTTAATGTTTTTTGAGACAGGAGCTCTCTATGTAGTTCAAGCTGGCCTTGAACTTGCAGTGATCCTCCTGCCTCAGCCTCCAGAGTTCTGAGTTTGTAGGCATACACTACCATCCCCAGCTGGAAAGCTGTTTATTTTTGCATCTTATCAGGTATCAGATGTCAAGAGTTTTACAAAGTTATTTCCCCCATCACTATTCATTTTGATCATTATCCTTGGGAAAGGAGAGGAGAAACCTTAAATGCACTGTGGGAGGTCAAGTATTTACTCATTGGTGAGCTCTAAGTGTCTTATTACCTGATACTAATGTCACCTCCCAGGAAGTAAAGAAGCCTGGGAAATCCAGTCACTTCTTTTCTATCCCCTTCTCATTCCTTTTATTGATTTCTTTAGATACTTATATTTACTCAAATGTTTTTCATAGACTGGTTTCCAAGAATGAGAATAGATTGATAAATTTAGTTCATGCCTTCATGCATTTTACAGTTAGTTTAGTGTAAAAGGTAGAAAAACAAAACCAGACTAGTTAGTGTAGGCATTTATACTTGATAAAATTATTTGGGATTTTATGCTAACTATACTAGGACATAGGGTGATTCAGAAAAGAGAGTGATGTGATCTGAGGTGTCTTAAGAACCTTGGCCCAGGAGCTGGGGAGATAGTTCAGGAGAAGAGGTGCCTGCCTGGCAAGCACAGGGTCCCGAGTTCAATCCCCAGTACTACAAAAACAAAAAACAAAAAACCTTGGCCTGATGGGTGGAGTGTAGATGATAGTGGTCAGGGTTTACTAAAATAGGATCAAAAAGCGAGAGAGATTGGAGGTTTAGCAGTGCTGCTGAGTGTGGATATCTACATAATTATGAAAGGATACACAATGCAGAATCTTCTTTCTCTCGGCTTCCCACCTGATTGCTTTTTCTAGAGTCTGTGAAAAATAGCATTTGTATCTCTTTCCAGAAACATTTTGTCGATCCATTCTTTAAAAAAAATTATATGATAAAATCTTTTTAAATAATGCTCAATCATCTTTTCAAAAATTATTACTGATAGTCACCGGTCTTTAATTTATGTAAAAACTATTTCTAAAAAAATAGCAAGGCTGGGCATCTGTTTTCATACTGACGTGTAAGTTGGCAGCCATCTGGTAGGAGTCATATCTGTTCGGTTTCTCTTAAGAAATGTATATATTTATTTAACGGAATTATTTTTCCTTCTTTGTCTTCACAGCCAATCTTGCATCTTTAATGGACAAAACATATGAGAAAAATTTTCCTGTTAGTTCTTTGACAATATCACGGGTAAGAACATTTAAATGTACAGTATATATTGTTTCAGAGGAGGAGAAACAGCAGGAACAATTCTTTACGTAGATAACACTGCACAAGGAAATAATACCCTTCATAGGAAATATTTTTTCATAGTGCAGTATGTTTTTGTAATTACTAATAAATATTTTATGATATAGGTCCAAAAAAAATTTTTTAATGTATTTAGTATAGAATCTACAGGGTCTCACTTACAGTGATCGCACTCTTAGTGATCCTCCTGTTTTCAGCCTTTCAAGTGCTGGGATTACAGGCGTGCCACCATGCCCAGTGTCACTCACAGTGTTAGCACACCATGGGGACAGGGCCGGGGAATCAAACTCCCATCCCTGCGTCTGCCTAAGCAGGAGCTTTAATCCGCTGAGCTATATCTGGCTGGCCCAATTGCAAAAATTTTTGTCTGAAATGAAAGCTAATAAATTTACCACACTCTGATGGTAGTGACCACTTTTCCATTTCTCCTTCGAGGAGAGCAGCATTTCCCTCGGCGGGGTGATGTGATACTAAAGTGAGATCTCGCGACAGCAGTCTTGTGGAAATCAGTGGCACCATAAAAATTCAAAAGTATTATTAAATACAGAAGAGGAAAAGGAAAACAGTGATCTTCCCTTTTTAATCCTGGCCCCTTTTCTTGTCATTCATTATTCTTTTAGTAGCAAAGCAGTTCACGTGGTGAGAACTGAAGGTTTTTGGACTCACAGTCGGCATACTGGAGGAGAACCAAAAGACCAGCAGTTCATCCCTTATACAAAGAGTGAAACCTCTGGGGGCTCTAACACCTGACGGTCATTTAGACAGTGCTTCAAGGTTTAAGGAGCTTTTCCGTTTCCCATTGTAGCCTGGTGCTCTGGAGGGCAGAGTCTTCCCTGGTTACACAGATGGAGCGGCTGAGTCCCAGAGGGGCTGGGCCATCTGTTCATGCCACACAGCAAGCAATCAGCAGGGCTGCTTCGCAGGCTCAGGCCTGTGTTTGCACTGCATTTGGATTCTAAATCTGCCCTTATTGGATTTCTAAATCAAACCCACAAGTCCCAGTTATTTTTAGAAAGCGTCATTTTTTTTTTAACTCTTTTTCTACCTCTCCATGAGGTTTTAATGACACTCACAACATGTGGTACTCCCTTCTCTAGCTTTCTTGCCTCAGTCTCTACTTAAGGGTAGAGGCCATCCTTGAAATAATTTTTTTCTATTCATTTTGGATTGTATTTACAGAGCATACTCAGAGAGTCTGTGTTTTGAAGGAAGGTTTTATTAAAAGAGATGTACATTGATTAACAGCATAACTTAAATCAGAGTAGGAAAAGTAGTTGCAAACTGAGTTTTGTGAATGTAGGTTTCTGTGTGCAGGAGAATATTTTTCTAACCATTAGAGTTTTCAGCCTGTCAGCATGTGTTCCCAGGTATTTGAAGCTTAGAGCAGAGAGAAACAATTAGGGCTTGTCTCAGTTACTCTTCTGTCCTTGCTGGGAGAAATACCTGACACTCAAAATTAGGGAAGGAAAGGTTTTAGTTCACAGTTACTGCAGGTTTCAGTCCATACTCAGCTGGCTCTAAGGCAGAGAGCAACCTTTCATGGGGGTGGCAAAGAGCAGAGAGGAAAGGGAGTAGCAGCAGCTCGAGAAGCTAGCCAGCCTCTCTCACCTCCTTATATTGTAATACAAATTCCCTGCCCCAGGGCTGGTGCAGCATCCACACCCACAGTAATCAATCGCAAACTCCAGAACCCACCCATGACTGCTTGAGGCTTTGGGGGGACGACTAGACACAAACCATGACAGGGCTCAATCTGAGAAGTGAGGATTCGTTACAGATATAATAGGAGGGAATCTTTCTTGCTCTGAGCAAGGCTCAAACTTGGCTTTTAGTCACATTTTCTGTACACCGAAAGAGAGAAGCTATTATATATTTTTGTCTGCATTAGTATAATGTGATTTCAAGGACAGGCACACCGCATGAATGTTGTCCCAGTAAAATGGGTGTCCTATTTTAAGGTCAGTATGTATGAAGTAGGCCAGGTACATGGCCTAATTTGTAGTCAATCTAACAATTTCATGTATCTCTTTTAGTTTGTGGACAATATCTCATCGCGAGAAGAAATAGACCATGCAGAATATTACCTTTACAAGTAAGTCTTCTATTCTAATTGGCTGTGATTAGAGTTTTCTTCCCATTTTACAGGATCTGTTGTACATTTTGGATCTTATTTACTCTTTCAACTTCTCACTAGGGAGACAATATGTTGTTTACACATATGCATCTGGTTTATTTCACTTATGAGTATGGTCTTGAGTTGTATCCGTTTATCTATAAAAATCTTCAGTTTATCCTTTATAGCTGAGTAGTGTTCCATTATACAAAAAGACCGCATCTTTTTTATTCATTCTTTGGCTGATGTTCATTTGGGTTGCTTCTAGCTATTGCAAATTGTGCTGCTATGAACATTGGTGTACATATATCACTGTGGTACAATGTTTTTAATTCTTCTAGGAATATATCTGGCAGGGAAAGAGCTGGGTCAAATGAAACCTTCAATCCTAGTTTTTTGAGGAATCTTCCTACTGATTTTCACAGTGGATATACCGGTCTACTCTCATCAACAGAGAAGCGTTCCTTTTCACCCTCGGCCCTGCCAGCATTTGTTAATGGTTGATGTTCTGAGGATAGCCATTCTGGGGTGAGATGGACTCTCTGTTGTTTTAATTTGCATCTCTTGCATGTTTTAATTTGCATCATCTTGGAGATGTTGAATATTTTTTCATATATTTATTTGCTATTTGTATTTCTTCATCTGAGATTGGGATTTTAAGTTTGGGAAGTCTGACTTTTTGAGTCCTTTATTTTTTTTCCCATGATTTTATCTTTTTAATTTTATTGAGAAACAAATAGCAATGAGACAGTTTCAAACCAAATTGGTAGGACAGTTTCAATAATTAACACATTGCATACATTCTTCCTAGTGGTTAAGAGTCCTTTATTCTTTTTTTTTTTTTTTTTTTTGCGGAACTGGGGATTGAACTCAGACCCTTGCGCTTGTTGCCAAGGAAGCGCTTATTCCACTGAGCCATCTCTCCGGCCCCAAGAGTCCTTTATTCTTTGTCTGAGGAACAGCTGGCAAATATTTTTTTCTCACATTGTGGGTTGTCTCTTCACTCTTCAGGGTTTCTCTTGCAGTGCAAAAGCTTTGTAATAAGATGAGATCCCAGTTGTTGATTCTGTACCACTGGTTTTTTTATTTATAGTCTTTGCTTACACCAGTGTCTTCTAGAGTTTTACCTATTCTGTCTTCCAGCAGAATTGATGTTTCTGTTTTAATATTAGATCTTCGATTCATTTAGAATTTAATTTAGTGCATGGTCAAAGATAAGGGTCCAATTTTAATCTTGAGAGCCAGTTTTTCCAGCACCATTTATTGAAGAGGCTATTTTTCTTCCTGTGAATATGTTTTTCCCCTTTGTCAGCATAAGGTGGCTTAGTATGTCTGGAGTTGTTTCTGCACCTTCTAATCTGTTCCATTGATCTTTAGGTCTGGTTTTTTTGTTTGTTTGTTTTTGCCAGTACCATGCTGTTTTTATCACAGTAGCTTTATAGTATAATCTGAAGTCAGACTGTGTGATGCCCCCTGCCTTATCTTTGTTGCCTAGAATTGCCTTTGCTATTCTAGGTCTCTTTTGGTTCCAAATAAATTTTGGGATTGTTTTCTCTAAGTCTGTGAGATGTGTTATTGGAATTTTGATTGGAATTTAAGCATCCATTCTGCCTCTGAGCTACAGCTCCATCCCCATCCCCATACTTCTTTCTAACATAAATGGCAGTAGATACTGTATATGTACTGTTTGATACCTTGCTTTTTAAAATTTATTTTTTAGCAGCCTTTCATTATCAGTACAGGACTTCCTCATATTTCATGATTGCATCATGTTTATGCTTAGAATATATTATTTTGTCAGTTTTGTGTTAAATAACTTTTTTTTTTTTTTTTTTTTTTTTTT